GGTTGTGTTTGCGAAAAACTGCACCTGAAGACACACTAAAGGGGATGAACAAAACAATTTGATGAATTGATGTCGTGCTTCTCCATTAGGCTTGCCCATGGAATCACTATTTCTCTTTTTTCCACGGATGGGTTCGTTATCTGGTCGCTTATTCAGAAAAATGCAGTAAATACAATCGACCGAGAGAGTGAATACTAGAATTAAAAATCTCCATGATGCGCACCTTCACCGGATAAATTTTTATGTAAGCAGTTCATCAATTTTAAACCTATACTGAACGTAGCCATTACCAGACACGATTTTAAACGATAACGTAACCTCTGTCATTACGTTATTATTATTATTTTTATTATTACAATCGTTGTTATTACTCATCGAGTAGATATAGTGGAACTGAAACCGCAATGTTTATTTGACTGGAAAATATTTCTCGCAACAGTTTCAAATACTGGGAAATTACCTGGGACGGCAATTCAGCCAAAACTTCTTTGGCCAAAGCAACCTTGCTCCAGCGCAGGTTATCCGTTCCATCCGCAGCCATTCGGAGAAATCTTCGCATTTGAACGAACTGTAAAACATGATGAGGGTGGAAAGGAAAGAGACGCAAAACATTGTATTTCCTTTGTATTTATTTTTATTACACACATTTGTGTGATGAATGGCGGACGGGGTGAACCTCATAGTCCCGAAGACCTGGTGTTCGGTAGTTGAAACCGGCTACCCAATCCCCCGGATTTGGAGTGGCTCCTCTAGGTTAGGCGTGATCTTGAGCCCAACTACAGCAACGTTGTCTACCATCAAAACTGGCTTGCACTGGCGGGGTCCAAAGCACGCCAGTGACGGCGATTAAACAACGACAACAATAATAATATTAATAATAATTATAATAACAACAATTACCACCACCAACAATGAGAAATCACCTGCAAGGAACTGGGAAGTTTTGAGGGAAAGACGTTATATGAAGCTATTCGAACGTAAAAGAAATAGTGTTTATTGTAAACCTGTGATTGAGATTAAAATACAAAGGAGTGCAATTTTAAATTTTCAACAAAATTTACAATGCATTTTGCTGAACTGTTCAAATACAGATATTTATCGAACTCATGCGATATCCTGACTTTCGTCAGATTTCTTGCTTCCAACGCGTAGCGTTTTGAGCCTGATTCACGGGAAGGAACATGAGATTACTCCGTACCAGACACAAAATATTTGTATTAGTTGCCACTTATGTTATTGCTTCTATTAGTTGAATATATATTCCTAAATTTAAGGTCATGTCTCACGAGCTCGATCAATACCTGTATGAACATGTATATGTCTATGGGTAGCTTGAGAAGTTGGGTTCAGTTAGTGGTTTCAATTATATCCAGCTGTCGTTTAGGGTCTAAACATTTTCCCAATCTCCGACACAATGATCTCACACGGCATGCGGATGATTGACGTAGGAGAAGCCAATAGTTTCATGACCCTGATTAATGCAGTTTGCTCGAGGCTTTTGAAGAACCGGGTTCGGTGTGGGTGACATTATTTTAAGTGTTTGAAGGTTTATTGCCCTGGGCAAATGGCTGTCGAAACTCTGAGGACACCTTACCTTTTAATCTCAGAGACTACAGTGTGTAACAAGAGGCGATTTACCGGCAAGGAAAAATAGCATCTATGAACTATAGCAATCTGAAGCGGAAGTTGACCCAATTCATTCTTTCCATAAGCTTAACTAGCCTAACCAATACCACTGCTCACAATAAAATTTTATTCTGTCCGTCTCACCGTCCAGAAGGTACGCTGCTGATATAATTCTTTTGCAATTTATCCCGAACCATGTTTAAATAATAATAGGTGACGAACGTTGAATAATGACCATGGCAAAGTTCAAAGACAACTGGTGAAAAACAATGAACATTTGGTTCTTCTGTTCCCGTTTCAAACAGTTTTCATTCTCCCCGAACACTTTGGACTCAGAAAACGTAGGTGATCGTTTTATGAAATTAGGCGAACAAGGCGATGGGGAGAATCGCGTGCATAAATCAATCAAACTAAATTACCCTGTAAAGACGCTTGGGTTATTATGATACGGAGACACGGGAGAAAAAAATTGTGTTGCTGAGAGACAACCTGTAAAAGGGATTTGAAACTTCTGTGTCCAGATGAAACGCTTGTGTTTAAGGTACGTTGAGGTCTGGACGACAAGAGAGAGAGAGGGGCAAACTGATCCGCGTGTCCTATTGCTATGTTCCTTGCAAAGTTGTCTCGAAATTCCCGCGGTTACTAAAAATGCCACAAAATCAAATTAATTCGGATATATTATCCATATCCTTATACTTATCCCAAAGAGGACATAATATAACCTAGTTCCTTTGAAAAAGACAATAGGTATGAGAAGATAAGGAAACGTTGAATAATACTGCATTAATACCGATTGAGAGTTTTTATGCAACACAGGCATATATATATATACATATATAGACGGGTAATCGATTGTTCATTTAGAGAGAATAATTGCTTTCCGTAATCTTCTTTTTATCCCAGATTGTTTTTATGAGCAATTTCACCTATGCGCACCCAACAATACATTCGCACACACACACACAAATGCACAACTCACTGAATTTCCTCAGAAACGGACTACAGGGGACAAGCAGCAGTGCACATGTACATGCCCTCTTGGAAACGTTCCAAAGATGTAACCATGTGTGAGACGATGGACATCTGTTAGTTATGGTAATTATATTTAATGGTCATATTTACCAAGTCGTGGTGTGTGTATGTGTGTTGTTGAGTGGGTAAATTTGAGCAGACGAATGCCGAGAAAACGCAAATAGGTAGGTAGGTAGAGAATGTGTCATGGAAGAGATACGATGCGACAAATACAGAACGTTGTGAGAAGAAAAACAGTGGACAATACAAGCAGACAATTTATCCAAATATCGTTGCGGTTTGTCTACCTACGGTCCCACCAAGATGAACGTTATGTATTCACATTGTCACAAGCAAAAGTTCACCATCCTACACAAGGTTGGTGACAGCCAGACAAGTGAAAATTGTAATACACATATAGCGTATATTGATTAGAAAAAAAAACGAGGTGTGATTGATTGGCTTCCTTCAATTTGGGAATTTCCCAAAGCCCAGTAAACCAGACACTGATTTATTTAAATTTCGGATGATGCAGAGTTCATGTACTCAGTGCAGTCAACTATTTTGCTCAACATACCTCGAAACGCAAATAATCAGGTGGGTCGTTTATGAGACAAATTTCAGTGTTTGCCGAAAACAGATAACTGCGAAGTTAACACAACCTTGAAAGAAAGAGATATTGTTTCCCTCTGATCTAAATCAAACTCATTGCCGGATTAGGATCAAAGTCCGGTAGGCAAATCAAACATCCGGTTTGTTATGCTTAAATCGATTCACTGGTCAGTTTTAATTTGTCATCAAAAAGCGGACATTTCAGGTCAAACACAAACGAAATTAGCAAGAAGCGTTTTTATCAAAATTTTGGTTAGTTTATTTAACCTTTAAAAATTTAGTTTGATCGAAATCATAAATTTTATGGGAATGTTACGGAACAAATATTGGCAAATCATAACATTTCACTAAGTATACTCGTCTCTCCCCCTCCCTCTCTCTTCGAGTGTCACTCAAAATTCCATTTCCATTGCATTTAGATACGAGTTAGGCATTGGTAGAACTCACCGAAAAGTGTTCACGTGATCCAATCGGTCAGTCGGATGAATTCTCTAATGCTAATTCACTATACGTGATAAAATCTACCGTTTTCCAAGAAATGAAATCAAACCAGTTGATTCGTACAGCCAGGATATCTGGAGCCTTTCCAAGACAAAGCGTCGAATATTTGACTTTCAGCAACACACATTTTGGATGCATTCTTCATACAGAGTTGAAAATATAAATTGAAATTACTTGAGTGATAAGAGGAGTTTAACAGGTTTTATAGTTCGAATCAGATTTGTTTGGTTTGCTCAGAGAATAACAAGCTCCTGTTGACCAAGTGTTTTGCGGATTTTATCCTGACTATCTACCTTTTCGGAGGAAGGCAGAGGTTAGTAAAAGAATGACGAATATCACTGAAGTGACTTGTTTGAGTGTCAATAAGACACTGTTTGATTCCTGCACATGTTCAGGCATAAAATCATATTGAGGGACAACTGTACGTTTCAAATGTGCCTTCCGGTTGATATCCTCGTTGACCCGTCTGTAGAACGCCAGCTGTATAAATTTGGGTAGTGTCCCACAGATCACAATTGAATGAGGGGTTATTCCTTCAAAAACCTTCCAAAATAGGTGAAATTCTGGTGTTATGTGATAGAGTTAAACATATTTGATAAAAGGTAAGTACCACCACATTAAGTAGTTGCAGATTTGTTGATCGATGTGAAAGTCGTTTCTCCAACAACCAATCCCAAGGTTATTTTAGGAACAAGTATGAATCTCGCCCTTAAATCTATTTGTCACCATAACCCATGAACATATATATATAATGTCCAATTGTAATTCGCATGAAGTAACTGATGATATGCGGAAGAAATGCCGCGGCAGCAGACATTCTGCATTACACTGCTGGCCTTTTTCAAAAATATTTTAGGAAACTCATTATTTTTCAGAATACTGTTATCACCTTGTGATGCCTCCAACCGAGGAAAAGCAAACAAGTGTTATTTAGTTTCTATCAGATTACTCAGAGCATGGAAATAGTATAGTGAGGATTTGACAAGTTGTGGGTGGCTACTTTGATCTTAACGTGATTGCAAATCTCTTTTCTGTTCTCAAAAGAGGATAATAAACTCATATGTAGTCTCTGTTTGGATGTCAAGGTTATAGATGTGACGGAAAACTACACAACCAACGTTTATTTGACGAACATGGTAGACTCATTTCCCAAATGGCCGGATTAAAACATAACAATTGAGGCATTTAATCAAATTATTGATCCATTTTCAACCCACGTGACACGTGCCTGTAAACAAATATCGTCTTGCATAACTTTATAGGCTATGTTTTGTCACCCCATGGCTGACTGTAACAGTATCAAACGTGTCATTTAAAAAAAGTAAATGATCACCTTACTTGACAATTTGTGAGGAATGTTCCATCTATAAGGTAGCCCACGGAGGTGTGGGAATTACAAGCGCTATAGGGTTTTGTCATTATGCACTTTTTAATTTTGTGCGATAAAATTGTTCGTTAAAAATGATGTGGGCTAATAACCGGAGAGGCTTATAAACAGTTGCCTATAATCTTTGCTTGGCAAGCGGCACTATGCTGTGACACGGGGGTAGATGATTGTTAAATGTATGAAAGCTTCCCAAGAATACATGTTGGTTTGAAGTCCTATCATTTTAGTTTATAGTCTTTCACAATTTAACTGAAGATTTTCCTCAAATCACTTCAGGACCAATCGAAACATTTACCACCGTTTCTTGTGGTGCATTTTTTATTTACAGCAGTAATAAAAAAATGCAAACGTAAACCATTGGTAAGCACGATTCGTCGGGGGGCGAATAAAAAAGGAAACACTAAGCAGAGAGGAATTAAAAC